AACTTGTATGGAGATTTTTCCATCTACAGATTTTCCCTGACCTTCTTTTCTCTGTAAACTAAGGGTGCACATTATTGCTGAAAAACACAATCCCTACTTAGCAATCAGATGTCCGTATGCACAAAGGCACAGATCCCTAAACAAGACCATATCTGCAGATTAAACTTTGTTTGTAGAAGCATTTTTTAATTTTGAACTAGCACCGCACGACTACACCACATTATGCGAAAGACACAGGCGCAAGTGGAGTGTTAAAAAACATGGTGACATAAATTTGTAAGTAAATATAATGTGCGATATATTGCGTCACCAAAAATTATTGAGGTCATGTACATATATTGCGCGATAAGTCGATATATTGATTATTGCGACAGGCCTATGTGTATTGCATAACTATATTGCATGACATGAGTAACTACATTATTACAAATTTTGTCTTTTGGTCATGTCTTATCTTGCAAAGGAGTGAGCTAGGATTGCACCTGGTGCCTCTTCAAAAAAAATAAAAATAATAATAATAATAATTAACACCCTTGGATTCATACCAGCCTAACTCATAGTTACTTTAGTGATTCATCTCCATTCAAACTCAAGCTGATTTGTCGATGTAAGTGTGTTCACTGAGGGTGATGCACCATCTCTAAATGCTGTGGTGGAGCAGATTAGCAATATCCCAGGATCCCTTAGTACCCATCTGTTCTGATGACTAGCCGCAGAGATGTCAGTGGGCAAGAGACAGAGCCCCATCTGCTCCAGATCAGGGACATAAAGCTCCCCTCCCATCCCACCAAAAAGACATCAGGGGGTCACTGGGAGCAGGAAAAGGAGCCGTATTCACCTGTCTGAGCACACTTTTATGTTTTTTCCCTCTTCCCAGTGCTATTATTCTAAATACTTTGCTATAAAACAGTAAGCATTTTCCCTTATTGTGTTATGGAGGAATCTGTGAATGTTGGACTTGGTTAACAAAGACTGTTACTTGTATAATTTGCCTGTTTTTTTTCTTCCTCTGTAAATCTCATTATGTTGCCCAGGCAAATAATGTGTTTCTTGTCTGGTTGTTTGTTTGTTGTGAATGAGATTACTTCCCACCGCTGTTAAATACAAGTTTGTTTTCTACCAAGGAGCAGTCATATTATATACCGTGTTCAACAGCATTTAGTCTATTCATTTATTAGTGTCTGGAGAGCGGGGTCAGGTGGTTTGCGTTCGTTTCGTCACATATAAATCGAGGGGGCGTTGAGGGGGTGAATATGTGG